ATCTTTCTTCTATCATTGACAGTCCCTCTAGGTTGTGGGCTGCTTGCCTGTGTTCCTGAGAAGCATCTACGGTACCAGTCTATACAGTGTGTTTTCTTTAGTGAATTACCGGTATGTTTACCGGTAATAAACTTGCACTGTTTTATGTATATGTTTGATTACATACAGCCTTGTGACAGTTTTCCTGCATGTCATAAGCATTTGAATATAAATTAAAATGTTAAAATCAAATCTGATATTGTTTTACCTTTTATTTGGTGTGTGGAAGGTGTGCGGAAGAGGGGGTAGTCTTATACGGCGAGTATATAACAAACTCTGTATTTTGAGTGGAAATGTTAGGGGGTCGTCTTATACGCCCAGTCGTCTTATACGCCGGCAAATACGGTATATTATTCTCACTAGTGACGTTGGCCACTGCTTCAGGAGAAAATAGGTTATAACTCTGAATCCTATTGAGCTCGCACTATTCTAGATGAAAAGATTACAACAGGCTTTAATTTTTTAAATTATCATTTTCATTTACTGAGTCCCTGTATAAATTTTAAAAGTACAAAAAAAGTACAAACAGACTTCTACAAAATATACTCTTGGCAATCAGCTGTGAATCATGTTGCAGAAATTGAATGAAATCTTTAAAATTTGGCTTTGCTAATTTGAATTAACTAAGTTAAAACTGTGATAAATAAGATATAGTACTTTCTTCAAGGCAAGTTTAGATATATACTTCAAAACAATTTTTCTTTTCTTTTTTTAAAAAATATATTTTATTGATTTTTTTACAGAGAGGAAGGGAGAGAGATAGAGAGTCAGAAACATCGATGAGAGAGAAACATCGATCAGCTGCCTCCTGCACACCCCCTACTGGGAATGTGCCTGCAACCCAGGTACATGCCCTTGACCGGAATCGAACCCGGGACCCTTCAGTCTGCAGGCCGACGCTCTATCCACTGAGCCAAACTGGTTTCGGCCAAAACAATTTTTCTTAACAAATTTTTAGGGTATTATAGTAATGCTACATTTTGTTTAGATTGATTCAAAACTAAAGACTTGAGAAATTTTAGATCCTTTCAAAACATTTTCAGTTTCTAAGTATAAAAATTTTTGTATATTGCTATCATAAGCCTATACTGTTTATAAAATATCCAGTAATTCATATATTTTTTACTACTATATATCAGGCACATACTAAGCCTTTACCCCTAAGACCAGAGGTTCTCAATCAGAGGCAATTTTTGTCTTTCAGGGTCATTTGGCTGGTTAAAGACATTTTTGGTTGTCAAATAGAGGCATGTTACTGGTGTCTAATTGTGGAGGTCAGGGATGCTGCTAAACATCCTAAAATGTACAAGATAGCCTTACACAATCTAGAATTACCTGTAGTAAATTGCCAATAGTGCCACTGTTGAAAAGCCCTAACTCCGGACACTTATAATTTGTGTTATTAAGACACTGGTAATAGTAGCTATTGCCAACACGCATTTAGTGTTTCCAAAGCTAAAAAAACCCATAGTTTTGAGTGGGAGGAGAAAGGCGGGGGGTGGGGGGGGGGAGACAGTCTTGTTATAGTTGATGGATAGTTTTACATCATTTTTTTGAACTAAAGATTAACTCTTAGGAATATTATGAAATGTTATTTCCCCAATGCTCTATGATAAGAAATGTTAATATTTTCAGAGTAAAACAATCATACCTTTTTAACTGCTAGAATGTATCCTTCCTCTTGAAACATTTTAAAAAATTCACACATGAATGTCTCCTTGAAACTTGACTAAAGAAAAAAAAACCCACAGGATTTATATAATATATATTAAGTAGAGAACTGAATACAGTGGACTATATCTTTAATAAAGCTGAGGATTAAGCCCTAAAAGGAGTCAATCATATATCTTAAGAGAGTTCTAGGGCTTGGAGCTGAAGATTGCCTCAATAGCGTTAGATGATTATGGTGCCCATGAATAAACAGGAGGCGCTAACATCTATTTATCAGACCTGCTCCCCTTCCTAGAATCTGTAACAGGTGAATAAGACACAGAATCTATCTAAAAGACAGCTACTGCATCTGTGCAATCTATGCATTTTGGTTTTGCTCTGCTTTTAATTTAGAAGGGAATGAGTTGAGAGAGAAGGGGGCACAGGGTAGAACTATATTTAGAAGTGTGAATACAAAGCAAGGATGCAAAGACTTACCTTGCTTTTGGACAAACTCCCCCAGCTTCCCAAAGTCTGAATGGTTTTTGAGATGAGAGTTAATGTTCTAATTGTCGGTGCATCCTAGAGAATGTAAAAAGACACAAAACTCCTGTTAAGTTTTAAAAACCAGAATTTGTATTAAAAAGTAGAACAGAGTGAATGGGCTACATTGCTCTACAAACAATGACTAAAAATGTTCATTCAAAGCAATGTAGTTAAAATCTAGCTAAGGATGGGCATAATTCATTGGACTAAGGAATAAAGACACTACAGAAGCCACGTATAATTGACAATTCCTCCAAAAGTAATTATATTTATGATGTGTCACTTTTGAAAGCTATAATTTAATCAATATCATATATATGTTGTTTTGTATGGTATGGCAGCTTGAATTACCTAATAAATTGTATTCACTTTTGAAATGTCAATAGCATCTACTTTTTTCTACCTTATAACTTAAAATGGTAGTTTCCAATCCACTTCTAAACATATTCAATAATTTATATGGTTTATGCAATCAAGACTTTACACCTGGAAGCAAAGACCTAAATTCAAATTAGGCAATGAGAAGTCACCTAATTCATATCAGATCTAAGCAGAGGATAACTACTGGGTCCATTATCCAAGGTGGAAAGAGAG